TGATGGCTGTTTGCAGCTGGTCACACCCCCTTCAGGGTGGGGGTCCCCACTGGGGTGCCTGGCCAGTCTGGATGAGGGGCTGAGGGCCGTTTTCAGGCTGGCCTGCTCCCAGTCTCTCCTTTTTTTCTTTTATTTCTTTTATTCTGGGATTTATTTACCTTCTATAATTGAAACTTTGCTGCTTTTGGAGCTGTTGCTTTCAGAGCTCAAAGCCGGGCCGCAGCAGGCGGGGAACCTTGGCTTCCTCCATCACTGGAGCAAGCAAACCTCCTGCTCGCTTCAGCTGTGTGGCTGCCAGCCGCCATCTTTGTTGGCAGTTAATTTGCATATCTCACTGTTTAGCCCATGGGAAGCATAGCGGAAGTACGGTTAATTACCCTTTTTGTCTTTTATTAGATAGGATATCTAGGACAGTGGTTGGCAAACTGTGGCCCCTTGAGTGTGGCTCTTCCACAAAATACCACGTGCAGGTGCGCACGTACAGTGCAATTGAAACTTCGTGGCCACACGCAAGGGGCCAAAGAGCCGCATGTGGCTCGCGAGCCGCAGTTTGCCAACCACTGATCTAGGACACTGAACCCTGGGGATTAAAAAGGTGAAATGCTACCTTATTATTTAATAGCTTAAGTAAGAGCAAACCATCAGAATTTCATAATCTCTTTCATAACACTTCCCATACTTAGAAATTTTCTTAAGTACCCACCACCACCATCACTTCCTCCCATAGACTAGCCCTGGGGCTATTACAACATCAGGAAGGAATATGCTGGCATTGACTAGGAGGAAGAAACAGAGGGCTCTTAATCCCATAGAGCCAAATTCTGCCCCACTTTCTTATACCCAGAGTTAGTCTCAGCAGTAGAACTCAAACTAGCTCTTCCCAGCAGATATAACAGGAAGTTATCCCATAGTCTGAGCCTGGTTTCTCTCTGCAAGGTAAGCCAACTTTTATATATACTACTTTTGTCCCAAGAATCTATTAGCATTTAAGGGCAAACTTACTCTTTTTACACATTCTAAGTGACAAAAATAAAAGGATAACTGAACAGTCAGGTTACCTAGTATATGTTACTTCGTGCCTGTCTGCCTGTTACTCTGGAGAATGGAACTACCATGCAATCAGCTCAACTACATGTCAGCCAGGAGGCAAGTGCCTGGCATGCATTGTCTCTTCCAATCTGCAGAGTAGCCCTGGGAAGAGTAAGGCTCTTTAAAGAGTCTACTTTAAAAAATGAAGAAACAAAGAGGTTAAGTAATTTGTCTAAGGATACACAGATGGATACATAGCTGGTGAGTTCCAAAGTAAAATTCAAAGACAAGCTTGTTTGATCAGAAATATCCCACTGTCCTCAAAAATGGCTCACTTCAGGATTGGAAGAACGGAAAAGAGAATGAAAAACTAATTCAGAAGTGGCAAATAATAATGAAGAAAAAATAAACAAGTCAATGCCTACAGATGAGAGAGCAGATAGGAATGAGCTGGCTAGTCCTAATTTAGGGTTCTCAGACTATCAAGAGGTCCCAGTTGCATTGTGCCTTAAGCCCTAGACTATGCTTCTCAAACATCAGTATAAATGCAAATTACATGGGGGTCTTTTAAAATGTAGATTCTGACTCAGTAGATCTGGTATGGGGCCTGAGATGTTGCATGTCTAACCACCTCCCAGGTGATGCCCTTGCTGCTGGCCTGAGGTCACAAGGCCCTACACTCCTACAGATCTTTCATACCCATCCCTGATCTCTACCACTGATCTCTAATTTAATAGCTATTACTTAAGCTATTAAATAATAAGGTGGTGGGCACTTAAGACACTGAGGTAGTGTCTTAGAGCTAAGTCCTTGCTCTCACTCCACAGTAGGAGGAGCTAGAAGAAAACATATGCTGATGCCATTGACCAGGAGAGAGAGTCCTCAGTAACTAATGTTCGTAGAGCACTTCCCATCTACGAGGGAGAGTGCATATCACATACATTCCCCGACATTCTTTTAAAGTCACAACAAGACTTTTTAGTAAGTGTTTTATGCTCCACCTTTACCAAAAAGGAAATTAAAGATTAGTGAGGATAAGCAATCTGCTCAAGGTCAATCTGGCTTTGAACCTGGTCTCTGTGACTCCAAGACCTCTATTCCTAACATTTACTACATTCCCTATATGTCAATAGAATTTTTATAATATATACATATTTTTTCTTTTGGTCATCAGACTACCCTAAAATTTAGGAAAAAAGGAACACATATCACTGCCTCTATTCTATATGTAAAAATAAGGCTGGCCTGAGAAAAATAAGTGATATATTCAAGGTCACACATTGAATACATGGAAAGCTAGGACTCCAATCCAGCTCACATGGTTTACAGTCTAGTGCTGTACCTGGCAAAATAACCAGTCTCTGGAAGTGGAACCAGGCAGCAGTAGTTTTTAAAATTCCTCAGGAGACTCCAATGTGCAATCAACACTGATTATCCTTTCCAAGATTGAGCCCTGAGTAAATTTTTCCAGAAAAACATTGACAGGATTTACCAGCACATGAGTGCATATACCACAAGATATAGTATGGGCAATCATAGGCCTGTGGGTTGGCCTGGTGATCTAACCATAGCACACATATAGTGAATTCTAAACAATCGCCTTCAAATAATCTTTTGAAATACATATGTGCATTGAGCAAAAGTGCTCCTTCATGACTTCATAATAGCTTTTCTTTTTTTTCAACTTAAAATTTGCAGAAACAGAATGCCAGGCTCTGATCTGAAGATCTAGAAACCATGGGGGTTTGAGGTACTGCAGCCTCAAACAGCCTTGGCTTCCAGGGACTTGAGTTGACCTCAATCATTCTCTATCCAGTCTTATGATACTAAGATATATTCTCTAGGGAACACAACTGATTTTCAACAGCTCTCAGCCTGTAGGGATGGGGGTGGGGTGGGGATTAGTGAAGTGGACTGTGATTGTCCTAATTAAAGTCTGTCCAAAACCCTGAGGAACTAGGAGAGGCAACCAGTGACACTCAAAACAATGCAGCCCAGTTTTCTCTGATGCTAATTAAAATAGAGAGATATTCAAACGGACATTGGCAGAGCTTCAAAATATGGCTCTGAATATGCCAAAAAGATGATTTCACACCATACAGCTCAGCTGAGTGACATCTAAAAGTATGTGCAAGTATAAAGAAAAAAGGGTTTTCATTATCAGAAGAATCTCTAAATCTGGTTATAATTTGAGTTGAAATTGATGATTTATGGGGGCAATTTCAAACCAATGGCCTAAAAATTATCTTTAAAGAAAGAAATTTCTTCTGTCATTTTCCTTGTTTGGCCCTAGCTGGTTTGGCTCAGTGGGTAGAGTGTCGGTCTGCGAACCGAAGGGTCCTGGGTTCGATTCCTGTCAATGGCACATGTTCAGGTTGCAGGCTTAATCCCCAGTAGGGGGTGTGCAGGAGGCAGCCAATCAATGATTCTCTCTCATCATTGATGTTTCTCTCTCTCTCTCTCTCTCTCTCTCTCTCTCTCTTCCTCTCTGAAATCAAAAATATATTTTTGAAAATAAACTTTCCTTGTTTGTATAAGATATGTGAAGGGAAAATGTTTCCTTTGATGATTACAAATAGGCATTAGGATAACTTATGAGAATTCTAATAGACCAGAGATTTATTTTACACAGAACACACATGCACACACAATCACACCCTCCTGTATTATAGAAATACCTTTGAAATGGTCAAAAAACTATATTCCTACCGATATTGTTTACCTGAAACTCATCCTCCTGTCTTGGAAGGAATAGCTGCTCTGGGCTGTCCTTGCTAAGACTTATTGGTCCAGTGACTCCTTCATCTCCATACACCCAGAGTGTGGCATTGGCTTGAGTCCCTGTGTTTCCTGTCAGCACTAACACCTTCCATTCATCTTCTGACAGAAGAGTCTCACTGCTCTGGAAAGGTCTGACTTCTTCTATGGGGTAAAAAAGCATTAGTGGCAGATCAGGTGCAATGTCAGGCTGACAGGATCCTTTGTCTCATGGAGCCCAAGGACATCAAACAGAGCAGGGAGGGGTGGGGCGGGCAGGGAGGCACCGAACTGCTACAAACTCCAGAGAGCTGATTTGTGCTCCTCTCCTCTCAACAAGGCTCTGGTCAACGGAAACTGAAGAAAATTCAATGAGGACAATAAACATCTGAAATGCCTGGCAATCTCTCACTTGTCCTCAACACTTCAACACGGATGCGTGCTGGAATTTGCAGTCTGTGTCCATAGATTTCTCATAAAGCTGCCTGTCTGGCTCACAGGTTTTTAGACAGAGCTACTGCAATATAAAGTAACAACGAACAGTGGAATTAAAACACATTTTCAAATGAGATGTAAAAATAGCAATTTTTGAGGAGAGAGAAAATTTTTCTGAAATAGTTCTGGGGGCGGAGGGGGGGGGGAGCCCTACTGGAAAGAGCAATGTAAGGATCAGAAACCACAGATAGAATTTTCACAAATGCAAGTGGTTTCTGAAGTGCTTAGAGCAGGTTCATCTGTGGGGGCAGGGACCACATAGCGGCAGTGTGTCCCAAGGCAGCCTCCATCAGCCAGGAGGAGCCAAACAGCAGCTCCTTGTTTGTAAGAGATGCTTATAAAGGGAAGTTCCCAACTTGCTGTCTTCTTTGCACTCTGCTTAGCCTGTTGCCTCATGAAGGAGATACTGGGGAATGTAGTGCTAAGAGCATTGCCCCAGCTACTCTGCATTGGTTGTCTAAATTGCCCCAACATTTGCATGTTAATGCTTAACTGAGATTTCCAGGTAGAAATCATATATTACAGACTTAGGTCATAAATTAAATGTCCTTATGTCAAATGGTTAAAAGGAAGCCAAGACTCTCCCTACATTTAATTATATGGAATGAAATAATAGGCAACCTTAGGAAGCACCTAGGATCTGAGTACAGCATTAGCATGATGACAACAAACCCAGGAAGTGGCTAGTTACTTCTGCTATAATAAACAAATTTTAAAATAAAATAAAAACTATGCCAAAAAGTGTATTTGCTAAGAAAGGACTTACCTTTATCTTTTAGAGGTGCCTCCACTTTACTGTCCTAGATCATCTCTATCACTATAATAGCAAGCTTTTTTTTCAATTATAATAATAATCACCATTTATTAAGCTCCTATTATATGCTAGGCTCTGTGTTGAAGGCTTCATATTCATTTTTTCATTCCATGAAGTAAGTCAAATTATGTTGTCCATTTTAGAATGAGAAAAAGAGATAGAGGCTAAGTAATGTGCCCAAGTCATATAATAAGTAAATAATGAAATATCTAAATCCGAAGCCTCTGTACTTTAATGAGCTGGATAGCTGTTCTGTGTTCATTTAAAGACAGTTCAGCAGGACACAAGATTTTATTCAGTGCTAAGCACTGTCCTAAAAACTTAGCATTCATACCATGTCAACCTTACACAATTCTCACACCAGTCCTATGAGGTACTGTCCCCTATGAGACAGGTCAACAAAAAAGGACTCAGAGGTTAAGAAATTTGCTGACAGCTATACAGGCAGTAACAAAAAATTAAACTTCAAACCCAGGCAGAACAAGGTTAAATCCCACGTCATTCGGGGTGTTATATCAAAGGCAGCTGACCTTTGATATAAAGGTCACAAATATTTTCCCAACAAGACTTTATGGTACAATTTAATTTCCAAATATTTTATGTAAACATCTGACTGTTATTTGTAGTCTATCACAATCAGGAGCCTTGCAAACACACTTGGAATTTCCTCAGAGCCCAGACAACAGCAGTCAGATCTCTACTGATGAAAACTCCACAGGACGTCCATGAGTCCTTCCCAGAGAGTAACTGGTGATCTAGGTCAGCAGGATACTCTTTAGGATGCTAATCTTCTACTTAACATCTTATGAATATCTTTTGCTCAGCTAAAAGGATCATTTTTACTCAATTCAAGAAAACTTTTAGTTCCTATTATTTGTTAGGCACTGTGTTAGGTTCATTGCTTCCTCAATATTAATGGCAGAGATTAAAAGATTGAAAGATAAATAATGACAGTCTCACTCTGGACATACGCACTATCTAGTAGGAAAGGCAGACATATACATATTTGGATTTCAAAGATGCAAACACATGCATAGGAAACAAAAGAAACAGGACAAAGTTCAGATGTAGCAGAGAGTCAATTACTATAGAGTAGCGGTTCTCAACCTGTGGGGCTCGACCCCTTCGGGGGTCGAATGACCCTTTCACAGGGGTCGTCTAAGACCATCAGAAAACACATATATAATTACATATTGTTTTTGTGATTAATTACTATGCCTTAATTATGTTCAATTTGTAACAATGAAAATACATCCTGCATATCAGATATTTACATTACGATTCATAACAGTAGCAAAATTACAGTTATGAAGTAGCAACAAAAATAATTTTATGGTTAGGGGTCACCACAACATGAGGAACTGTATTAAAGGGTCACGGCATTAGGAAGGTTGAGAACCACTGCTATAGAGGGTGGCAGGAAAGGCTCCTAGAGGTAACCTGGGTGCTGGATGTAGAAGGATGAATTAGAATTTTTAGAAAGTGAAGGGAAGGGTATTTCAGATAAAGGGAATACCTGTCCAGCATGTACAAAGACTTGTAGTAGCAGGCATTATGAAAGAACTACATTAAGTGAGATGTGCTTGAACAAGACAATGAGATCATGAAAGGCATTGGGCAAGTTGGAAATTGGCACACCTTTGTGCAGACAACATGGAATAAGTCAAGATTCTAAATTATGGTGGTGACATGCTCTGAGTATTAGAAAGATCTGTCTGAAACAGGGCGGGCTGTATAGAGCAGGGAGAGACTGAGGCAGGAAGGCCAGTGAACAATATAAAATGAAAAGACAAATGGGTCAAGATACCATGGTTACTTGGTTTTAGTTTTTGGGTATCCAAATATGAACATATGCACGCATGTGTGTGTGTGTGTGTGTGTGTGTGTGTAGCCTGTTTGTTTGATTTAATCTGCAAACATGTTATGGTCTCTAAAGTCTCTTCTTGCTATAACATTTGCACAAACATAACATATTTGCACAAACATAATCCTCAGGGTGCACTCATGTTTCAAAATTCATGACTTAATATTATGTAATTTATAATATAGAACAATGAATTAAAGTTTGTGCTGTTATCAATTAAAAATGAGTTCCATCTAATACCCTGCTCTTTTGGAAATGAACCAAAATCCATTAGTCTCAGATAATAAATTTATCCATTTGAAAACCATAAAAGCAGTTGCTTTTGTTGACTAGAGTTTTAAAATATTCTTAGATGGGAGACTATTTTATGGAGATTCTGATTTCATCATCTGACTCATTCAGGGGCTCCCTAAATAAAATAATCTATAGTACCTAAAACTTACTCGGATGTCTCAAAGATGTTCTTCATGAGGGTGACAGAACACTTTTTTTATTGATTAAGTTATTACATATGTGTCCTTATCCCCACATTACCCCCATCCTCCCCACTCCTGCCCTCACCCCCCTGTTGTCTGTGTCCATTGGTTAGGCCTATATGCTGACATATAAGTCCTTTGGTTGATCTCTCTCCCTTCCCCCCACCCTCCCCTACCTTCCCTCTGAGGTTTGACGGTCTGATTGAGAACACTTTAATTAAGCACCACTCAAGTTGACTCAGTCAATATAAAGTAAAATAAAGCTAAGCTACCTCTGGTGTTGTTGATCTCCTGAAGCTCTGAAAAAAATTTTTAAATTACACATAGACATAAATAACAAATTAGCTGATTCCATACATAGTTCATGGGTTGGTCAAAGTTGAGGTCAACTAAAGGCATGAATCATTATCAGAAAGTGTGGGCATAAAAAGACAAGTCCCATAAACCTTTGTGTGCTTTTTCAAGACAGTGTTTAAGAAGGCTGATTTACACTAAAATGTAAAGCAGAAACTGAAATCAAATGTCCCTTAATTTTGATAGTACAGTATCACAAAAATGATTATTATTTAACCCTATTTTTTAAAATGTAAAATAATCTGGAAAAAATATAAAAAGTTAAACCATTTTCTCTATAGGTATCGTGCAATGCAAAAGTATCTATTTCTAAAAAACTAACACAAACAGTCTTGTTTTATTCATTAATTTGTCAGTTTCTTGGTGTAAGGTATAGTAGGCTTTTATAGAGAGCACTGGAAGCACAACACTGATAGGAATAGCTAACAGAAAATAAGATCAAGTAATCAAGGCTATCTCAACATGCTAAAATATTGGACTGATACCAAGAAGAAAAAGTATAATTGTTATCAAGGTAAAGGCCTAAATTTGGTTTCAAAATCAGTTACAGAATATTGTATATACAATACCCTAGTGATCTTAGTATATACCAAGAGTCCAATAAAGATGTGCTCCAAGCAATATTATATTGACAGATATATGGAGTCCACATTAAAGAAATACCATTTTTCTAACTGTCCTGATTAAATGAGAAGACAGTCTCCTATTTAGACTCACACGTTAAAATATATATGTACTATATATAGATGTGGTATTATAAGTTCTAGATCTTTGTCTTCTTTTTTTTCTAATACATGAGCCTTTTGCAAACAGATGACAAGTTTATTTATCATAATCTAACCCCCAAATTACATACATCTTGCCCCATCCTAAAGGTAGACTGACAAACATAATCTCATTCTTCAGGAATGGATCGTTGGTTTTAATGTCTTTAAAATATAAAATAAGCTTTATAAGTTTTCTAAAGTATTTTTCAACTAATTTAATTTATTTTTATATGAATTAATACAAACCAAATCTATCTAGCATAACAGTTAAAAAGCAAATCAAAGAGGAAGGTATTTCTCACAATAAATAAGTGTTAACTACTACAGATGTTTGATAGAAGTAGAAAGAGAATCATGATCTGATCACTCAGTAATGAATCAGTCTTCTAAGTAATATTAATCTGTAAAGACATTTTTGCCCACCTGAGGGATACTTATAAAAAACCATTTCTACTGCAATCACAGAAGGCAAAATTTAAACAAATCATGGGGATTTTGTAGATGACATTTGCATTAGGAAAGCTTTATCACCTAGATTTTCAGGATTTAATGTCTAAACACAAGGTATATGCTATATCAATGCTTCAAATAGTTAATAAATTAAACAGCTTAATTAATAAAGTTAAGTCTCCCTTTTCTCAGTTTCTGGCCCATTCTCCATTTCTATTGCCATTAACTAGTATTGCCATAACATGTAGTATTGCCATTAACTACAATAAAGAAATTGTGTCTTTTTATAATGAATTAATGACTTAAATTTTATGTTGTGCCTAGTATGCCCTGGATTTTCCTTCATAAGACTCAACAATCTCACTTCTGGGTATATACAGGAATATTATTCAGCCATGAGAAAGAAGGAAATCCTGCCATTTGTAACAACATGGGTGGAACTTGAGGACATTACGCTAAGTGAGATATAAAGACAAATACTCTATTATATCACTTACATGTGGAATAAAATTTTAAAAAGCCAAACTTGTAAAAACAGAAAGTAAAATGGTAGTAGCAACAGCAAGGGTTGGGAGTGGGAGAAAAGGGAGAGATATTTAAGGGTACAAACTTGAAGCTAGTAGATAAATAAGACCCGGAGATCTAATGTATAGTATAACAATTATAGATAACATCTTATTATAAATATCAAACTTACTAAGAGACTAGATCTTAATAATTCTCATCATAAAAAAAGAAATGATCATTATTGACATGATAGAGGGGCATCATAGTGCATAAACGTATCAAATCAACATCTTGTGCACCTTAAATTTTAGAGAAAATTAACAATGGTAACATTTCTTAAATGTTTACGCCAGAACAAGTTTTCACAAAATACATAGATTTTTTTCTCTTAAATGTTTTGCTACTCATAAAAATGTATCCACTCCCAGAGATTTCAGCTAGCATGCTATTTTCAGCCAAGTCAAATTCAACTTGAAGTGGCCATCCCAGATTCCATACCTCCTGACACAAGATTGAATTCTCCCTCTGAGAAAAATTTTAACAAAGCACATGTTTCTCACGCAATGTGATTTGTCCCACTGCTCCATGGATTCATGACATGACATGGAAATATAACACTGGGCCTTGTCCATACAGCAAAAATCAAAAGGCTCATTTCTCTTTTCTCTGGTTGATACAATAGTATCATAGGGCTGTCAGAAAGAGACATCTATTTTCTGTTGCTATCTGAAATAAAAAAGAAAGCACACCCAATAACTGATTTTCAAAAAGCACTTTTTTAAAGGTAACATGATAATTTATCTATTTCTCAAGATGGGTTTAAAAAATGTTTCAGACACAGTGGTCACTATGTCAGTTTACCCAAAGATGACTAGATTCTGATGCACAGAATTTGTCAGATATCATTCATAGAAGATAATACATTTAAGAGCGAGAAAAATGATCAAACAGACTAAAACTAGAAACTAAAAATCCAAACCTCTCAGGCCTAGAACACTTTATTGATGCCTCATTTTCTATATCAGAGAAATGGAGGAGATTATTTTTGTTGTTTAGACTTTGGCGAGAATTTGCTGTTATTTATAAAATATATTCGTAAGATATTTTGTAGGTAATAGTCCAATGTGATGTCATAATTTAATGCTACCTTCTTTTCAAGTCATTGTTCAGGAGTGATAATTGAATTCAAGGTAAAGAAATAAACACATCTATAATAATAAAAGCGTAATATGCTAATTAGACCAGACGTCCTCCTGGACATCCTTCCTTCCGGACAAAGCCGCAGTGGGTGGGGGCCACAGCAGAGGCAGGAGAAGCCCTGGCTACAGCAGCGGCAGCGGCAGGTTGGGGCTGGGGCCAAGGACCTTACATGATTTTCGTGCATCAGGTCTCTAGTTTTTAAATATATTTATGTTTTGCAATATAGAGCCCAAGCATAAAAAAGGTAAGATAATAGCTTCAAAGCTAGTTCATGTGTTATAATGTAACCTATATTATAAAAATAACTTGGTGTTCTTCTTGAGGTGTTCACAAAGAACCAGTGCAGACAAACAAACCGAAAGAAGAAGAAAAACAAAAGACAAAACTGCTGCTTACTTGCAGTTGAAGAAAGCGAGGAACATCTGGCCTCAGATTCAGGTGGTATTTCTTGCTGGTGTTTTGACTCCTGGATCTTTTCCTCTTCTTGGCTGGGTGTTGCAGACATACCCATTGGGTTTTCTCTGCCAACTGAAATTAAGATTTTAAAAGATATCATCCTTTTAAAATCACTTGTTTCTCACCATATGTTTAAACTATGCAAGTTTAAGTTTTGATATTGTTTCCATTTCAATGCCTAGTCAAATCCTTTTACTCTGTATTATATAGTTACCAGAAAATGACTTTTTACTCTTAGCAGCAGGCTGTGCGTGAATGGTATTCCGTTAAAATCTACTCACTGCTTTATAAATCAAAGCAATAATTTAATGTCACAGTATGAATCAAATGACTTATTCAAGATATTTTTTATAGATTCTAACAGGAACTCCTTTGATAATCTGCTACTTTGCCTTCATCAAAAGGGTAAACTGACTAAAACATCATTTAAACAATACTTCATGTGGCTTTACTAAAATATGAGAATCAAAGAAATATACCTATACCTAGAAATGAAGAAAACATTCGCTATTGTACTGTCTTTTATTTTGAAACAAGTTGTTTTGGTGTCTTGTCAGTAACAGATATCCCCAACCTAGCTGAATAATGACTCCAATTTTATAGTCCATGCTCATGAGTACTATTTGTATTTAGAACTTCAAAGTTTAAGTTTGTGTTTTATTCTTAGGGATTAGTCATAGTACAGCCATTTTTAAATTATAGTAATTCAAACTATGACTGTCAGAAAATAGAGGGATCATCAACAACAACAAAAATTATACAGATGTCTGATTCTATATAATCAGAAATAATAGCAGCTATTTCTTGATACCACAATTGCAGTCAATAAGTTAAGATGACTCATAAAATATATGTTAGCATGAGAAGGCATAACCTCAGAGGTATGGCTAACAGGAATTAACAAAACTTAATCTTATGGAGTTATAACACTGGTGTCTGAAGACTGCCCATGATGATATCGTCATGTATATCCTTAAAGGATTATAAGATAAAAATTCAGATAATAATACGCTTTTTAACACCAAACCCTGTAAAACATGTTTTTCCATATGGTTTATTTATAATGCAATGCTTAGATAGTAGAGATTGATGCTGGTAAAAAAAAAAACAAAAAAAAAAAACCACAACTTTAAAACATTAAAAGGAAAATCAGGAAACAGGAAGTGTGTATGCTGAGGATAAATTAACTCGTGGAGAAGAAAGAAAAAGTATAATTTAGGGTACATTTTATTATGACCCAATTAAGAGATCCATAATGCCCAGGCTGGTGACTCAGTTAGTTGGAGTGTCATCCCAAACACCAAAAGGATTGCAGGTTCGAGCAGGGTCCAGGCATATATGGGAGACTATCAATCCATGTTTCTCACATCGATTTCCCTCTCTCTCTCTCTCTCTCTCTCAAATCATTTAAAATAAAAAGATTTTAAAAAGAGATCCATAATTAAGGATTTTCATTATCTTATCTAATAAAAGAGAAACATGGTAATTATCGTACGACCACTACCCTTCCCATTGGCTAATCAGGGTGATATGCAAATTAACTGCCAGCCAAGATGGCGGCCGGCAGCCAGGCAGCTGGAAGCGAACATGAGGCTTGCTTGCTGCAGTGAAGGAGGACTCCAACATTCCCTGCCTGCCTTGCCGGCCTCTGAGCTGGCAGTTTGAAACATTGTAACAAATATAGAAGCTAAACAAAACCCCAGAAACCAGCTTTCAGCCGGCCGGGATCTCAGAGCTGGAGATGATACAGTGTTTCGATTATAGAACC